GGGAATTAGAGAAAAACTAAGAAAGCATCCTCTAAAAGCTATCAAGTAATTGTCTTAGTACATTCCTATATAATCTTAAAACAAAAAATCAGCAAAAGTAAAGCACATTGAAGCTCATTGCAGATAAATCTTGTACACTATAAACCATGTAAGGGACACTTAAATCCATCAATATTAGTCTTGCGATGATCTCCACGTGCAACAAGCAGCATGAACTAAAGGCACCAGAGTTGTTATAAATACTTCTCAATGCTTTTTGCCTCTGCTATTTGAAACCTATCCCTGAGCGGCTAATGAAAAAGCCCAGATCAAGTGTCTTTGGTACGGCAGAAAATGTTTTCTTGGAAAATATTTTCCACATATCTTGAATTGTGGAAAAGCTTTCCTCCAAGGAAAATATATGAATTCCCTCCATTAGCGAGAGAAGTCATTTTCCATTGTTCTCTTACTACATATCGCTTACTTTAATCAACACTTACCCCTTGTTATTCACAGTTAATACAAGTATATGACCAACAACACTATGATTATCCCTTATCCTACACAACAACTCCACCAATCCCCTGCTTCTTAACGCGAACGTGGTACCACTATCGCGAACGCGTAGAGCAACCCGCTCAAACTTTCGCGAACGCACTCCTCCTGACGCAACCGCAATGACTAAACCACCAGTGGCCCCATAATACTCTTCGTGATCGCGATACTCCTCCACGATCGAGATGACTAATAACCCAGCGCCAGAAATCAGAGAAACCACCAATGCCAATATGAGGAAAATGATCCAAAGTCACTCCGGAACTCACCGAGCCCCCGCGGGACCCGTCCGAACATACCATTGCTAGAAGGAGGGCTTGAACCTTCAATCTTGTGGTTAACAACAGCCACACGCTCTAACCAAATGAACTATTCCAGCTGCTTATTCATTATAATTTATAGTTCAACTAGTTTTAGGCTGATTATCAATCTACCGTAATCCTCCTACTTCATCCAACCTTAGGAACAGAGCAAGCTCACACAGGATAATCATAAGCAATATTTATATCTAACCAAACACATGAAAATTATCCTGCAAATGTAAACAATTAATTTTAACAAAAACTAAAATTCATGAAAACACTTTCCTTCATACCAAACACACTCGAGAGTCGAGAAGCTTATTTATTTCCCAAAATGAAATTAGATGAACATTCCTAATGTTAAAATTAATATACAACAGCACCATGTATAATCAAACATTTAAAAGTACCAACATCACAGTTAAACAAACCAGCATTTTAATCAGATCATAAAAACCCACTTAATACTAACAAAAACAAAGACTACAAAACAAAAAAGAGAGAGAAAGAAATTATACCCTCTTCTCGCCAAGGAAATTCCTGATCTCAATGGCCTTATTCCCTCCACTAATAGACGCATTGATAGGAAAATGAGCATACACAAAACGCATCTTGTACCGGTACCCTTTAGTGACACCAGTGATCAAATTCTCAACGTGACTAAGTGCTGTACGGATTGCAGCAGTAGTCTTACGTGAACCAAACCAAGCATCAATCTTGAGCTTTTTTTTGCCTGTTTCTTCATCTTTAATGAGCTGAAAATCAAGATTTAAATGCTTGAAGTTTCTAGTGAGTTTTCCTCTTGGTCCTTCTACTTCTATTTGCTTTGCTTTTACTTTAATGTTTACCCCATCTGGGATGTCCATTGTTTCTGATGAGAGTATGGTCTTCATTTTGCTTTAAGCTCTCTCTCTCTCTCTCGGCGTTTCTGTGAAGACAGCAAAACCCTAGAGGGGGAAGTTTGTTTAAGAGGGTGAAATACGGATTAATAAACCTAGAAATGATTAATGATGTCTTTGTTTATTGGGCTTATGAGCCTTCAAGATATGGCCAGCCCAATGAAATTCAAAACTAGCCAGATTTACAAATGGTAATTGAAAAATAGCCTTTGTTTTAAAAGTAATTGAAATTTAGCCATTTTTCATGTAAAGATAAATTTGAACGAAAACACTGTTCAAAATCCAGAAAGTATTCCAGCATAATATACTGGACTTCCAACATAATATATTGGAAGTTCATATACATGTGCTCCGATCTCCAGTATATTATGCTGGAACTTTCTGTGAATTAGAGTTCCAGCATAATATACTGGAAGTTCATATGCAGGTGCATCAATCTCCAATATATTATGCTGGAACTTTCCGTGTTGCAGCAAAATAGTGACTATTTTTAATGACTTTGCAAACACTGGCTATTTTTCAATTACTCGTCCGAAAACTGGCTAACTCGTGCTATTTTAGCCCATGTTAACTTTATCGTGTCACAAAATCACCATTTAATAAAGAAATATATATTTTTAGCCGCTTCTAAAAATAAATACCAATAAAACGTTTAAGTTTTGTATATATGTGTATCATATACATATAATATATAATTTAATATTTTTGTCTAGCGCATGCAATTAATTTTGGTTGATCGGCCAATTTTATATTTTATCTTATAATTTATATATTGGTTAGAAAAAGTAAACAATGAATCAAGTTATATTTGTCGATGTGCTTTTGCATGTATATCAATAAAAAGATATCAAGTGATCTGCGTATTAATTGAACAAATCGCTCATTAAAAATATGGCCAACCCAAGATAATAAAATTATGAGAAATTAATTTAAATAGTCATTTATTTAAAAATGAAAAATTAACCCAAACAGCCACCCACCCTACAACTTAAACAAAAAATAGCCAACGAATGTATATTATATGCATAATTTATGTATTAAATGTGTGTAATTGTGTATAATCAATGTATAATCTATGTATATGGCTAGAAAAAGTAAACAGTTAATATGGCCGGCTATTTTTGTAAAAATCCCTTTAAGAATATAGCCATAAAGGTATATATTCTGTATAATTAGTTTATAGTATATGTATATTGGTTAGGAGCTATAAAAATTTTATATCCGAGCGGCCACTATGTATCTTCTACACTTTTTTTTGGGCTATAAATTGCCCCACTTCTTCCTTTATCGTCTCAGGAAGTTGTCATGGCCTTTGATCCCTATTTTATATTTCTTGTAACCATGTGACCAGGAGATTACGCGTTCAAATCGTGAAAATAACCTCTTGCAGAAATAGTAAAAATGGCGTGGAGTAGCTACTATTTAAGGTGGTATTTATTTCTTATCCAGAAATTCTAATGTTGAACAAAAACTGCCACTACTCTATTAAAATTAACACAAAAAGACATTTTTACCCTTTCTTCCATTGTTTTTCTTCCCAAACCCTCGCTTCTCTATCTCAAGTTCGATGTAGAGACATGTTTTTGTGGATGCATATGTTTTTTGTGATAAAAATGTTGAATTGGGTTTTTTGATTCTTGTGAATTTGATGGCTTTGAACAGTTACGAAGATGAAAAATGATATCTTGCTGTTTTTCTAACAAGAGTCAGCTTTGTCTTGTTTCGTGTAATTGCCACCTTTATTCGTTTTTTGCCTTCAATTTTATGTATGGATTCAATGCTGAATTGGGTTTCTGATTCCTGTTGATGCATGTGTTGTTGAAAGGATTTGTCCTTAACTTATAGTTACAAGCACAGAAATTAAGGACAGGTAATTTTTAACTTAGAGTTACAAGCACAGAAATTAAGGACATGTAGTAACTTAGAGTTTCAAGCACAGAAATTAAGGACAGGTAGTCCTGAACTTAGAGTTACAAGTTCAAAAGTTAAGGACATGTAGTCCTGAACTTAGAGTTACAAGCTAAAAAACTAAGGACAGGTAGTCCTTAACTTAGACTAACTTGCTCATAAATTAAGGGCAACTAGTTCTGAACTTACAATAACAAGCTCATAAGTTAAGGATACTTGGTCATGAACTTAGAGTTGGAAGTTCAAAAATTAAGGACACTTGGTCATTAACTTAGAGTTACAAGCACAGGAATTAAGGACAGGTAGTCCTTAACTTAGAGTTACAAGCACATAAGTTAAGGACACGTAGTCCTGAACTTCGAGTTACAAGCACATAAGTTAAGGACACGTAGTCCTGAACTTCGAGTTACAAGTTCAAAAGTTAAGGACAAGTAGTCCTAAACGTAGACTTACAAGCTCATAAATTCAGACAGCTAGTCCTGAACTTACAATAACAGCTCATAAGTTAAGGACACTTGGTCCTGAACTTTATGAGCAGAGTGTATTTTCGTCCGGGCGGGTAAAGTTATTAAAGCAGTGGCTAAAGACTAAAGACATTTTAAACAGTGGCTTAAAAGTAAATACATATTTTATTAGTGGCTAACTGTGCACTTCCCCCGCAGAAATATAGGATAGGGCTGCGTACAATAAACCTTTGTGGTTCTGCCCTTCCTCGGATCCCGCGTATAGCGGGAGCTTAGTGCACAAAGCTGCCCTTTGTTTATTTTTATTTTTTTGTGGGAAAAGAGTCAATTTCGTCCTAGTGCATTTGCATATATTTTTCTACTATTCTTATTCTACTAGTTTCTACGAACGTGCGTTGCACGTTAATAAATAGCATGTAGATTTTCGATTAATTGTTTATATGGAGAAACAATAAGTTCAATTACAGGAATAAAGAGTTACCGTAATGATATTCACGTAAAAATACAACAATCATCTAAATCCTAAAATTACTGTTAGAATTGAACTGGCTGGTCGTCGTTTAAACCTATAACAATGATAAAATTAATTAAGATAGTTAGATATATAATAATGTGCTTATAGTTTATACATATGATCTACCTAAGACTTGTTTATATAAAATTGGTGAATGAACTTGAACTGCTCGTTAAGAATGATTTTGATACATAGAACTAAGGAGGAGGCTGATATTTGGATCTTTTGAATGCAAAGGAACAAGTAGTCGGCAAGTTATTCAACAGTCAAATTATATTCTGTTCACCATATATTTAGTTAATACATGACTTTTTACTTCTTCATTTCTTTCCCCCTCAGATTGGCACGAATTGGTTTTTTACTTCCGATGTGTTGTGATAAGTTTAATATTGCAAATAACTTGGTCGAAGCTTCTTTATTTAATTTACAAACTCGTTGACTACAAAGTCACTTGCTATAAAATACTGAGTAAAACTCTCCTTCCGTCGACATGAAAATCTCTAAAAATACCTGGATGAATAGTGTTTAGACTTTAGAATGACTCATGTGGAAATACTCACTATATAAATCCTTGTGGTCTTGCGGGTATCAACTTGAGTGTTTAAGATGCCTATCCACGCTAGTGTGATTAGTATGGCGTCGTAACTCCACAATTATTGCAATTTTTTTTCAAAAAATATCATCATTAGTAGACTTCAAAGTCTTATATAACAAATAAATTAATTTATCAAATATAAATTATCTATTTCAATAAATAATTCAGCTTTGAAGGATATTAAAGTGAACATAATGATTTTAGCACAAATCTTAGAAATTACAATTTTATTTAATGTAATTATCTTTTTGAAGTAATTTAAGGAACTTGAATATGACACTCGAAGTAAAACAAAATGGTGTAAAAAATGTTCCCATAGCTTTATTAATCTATTCTCATTCACAAAAAGTATTACTCCACTAAAATATATGTTACATCTAGTGTCCTGCAAGAACATTGTAAATATTTTACATATTAAAATAATATTTTGTCCTACTATAAAGTCCAATCAATAGGTTACAATTAAGAAATAACAAACAAATATAACTTATAAAATAGGGATTTTTTTCTAACTATACCATATATGAAACCTTATTACCAAAAATGTGCATAATTTGTTAATTACCCGCCCAGTCCACACTTTAACTACAATTTATATACCAATCCATAATTAGGCAGATTCTGCCATTTAAAACGCGCGAAAAAAAGGCACAAAATCTGCGTTTGATTCTTTCCACATTAAATTCGAAATTTGAAACGGAAAGAGATCTGATTGCTGCGTAATTCTCTCTTTCACTACAATTCAAAAACAACGCAGAGCTTCAGAAGCTTCAACAACGCAATACAAATTGTAGAATTCAAAATTGTTCTTCGTCGTCCTCAGTACTCAAATTGTCGAACCTATATCTGTTCTTCATCTTTTTTTCTCTCAACTACACGAAATCATGTCAAAAATCCCAATAATGCTAAAATTGAATGGGAATTGGGATAACTATGGCAGATTTAGAGATTTTGAAGTTGATGCCATTGTGGTAGATGAGAATGCAGGTTTGTGTAGTTCGAAAATGCTTAGAATTTTAGTTTTATGATATTATCTACAAATTTACTACATATATCTACAATTTGACTACAAGTTCTTTATTTGGTGCAGGAAAAAAATATTTTAATAAACAGTGTCTCCAGATTGAAGATAAATTGTAGGCAAATTGTAGTTTACTTGTAGTTTGTAGTTAATTTGTAGATAAATTGTAGATAAAATGTAGATATATTGTAGATACTATATTTTTAATATTGTAATTTTTTTTTTCTTTGTGTTTGTTCTGAAAATGTAGGTGAGGGCTTCAACAGATCATATACATACTGTGTTGGATGGTGTGAAGCAGTACATTGTGTGTCTAGAAAACAAGAAATGTAGTCGTGGCCAATTCCAACTTGAAGAACTTCCATGTGTAAATTGTTTCCAGATTGTAGTTATAATGTAGGTTAAATGTTGTTAATTTGTAGTTTTTGTAAAAATTTTGTAGACAATTTGCAGATTATTTGTGGATGACACATTTCTACGATTGGAGTATTTATTTCTTATTTTTTGTTGTGTAATTTATATTCAACTGACAGTTATATATAAATATTACATAGAACTTGGAGGTAAACATCTAAAA